AATAATTTTTAATCTGTTTTTAACTTGTTCTTGTCATATTTTATATAATTTTGACCATTGTACCATCTATCCAGCTCTCACCATGTTACTGGACGTTTCCCTCATCCTATACGTAAACAACAATTAGCAACATCCTTACATACTACTCTCCTGATGATGATGGCAAAGTCTATTGAAAGCTAGAGAGAATTAAAAAAATATAAAGAGTCCTCTTTGCTTAAATTTTGTCGAAGTACCCAACAAAAGGCGGAAGCTTTAATTTTTCACCTAACTGGTCTAGACGACAATGACCACGTCTCAAGTTATATATATATATATATATATATATATATATATATATATATATATGTTTGGCCGCGTTTAATCCAATATATGTGAAATGTAAATATTATTGACGACAGCATTCTTTAAAAATCCTATGTTTTACGTTCGAAGTGTTTGTACATGCAACATCGCAGATTCCCGCTGAATGTTGGATGAAAGTTTCATCAAAACAGATAGGTCTATATTCTTTAGTAGTCTGTGGATTGCACTCACATAGCTATTGTGTGCGCAATCGAAAATGAACATATATATCAATAGGAAACATTACCATTCACTCAATGTACAGATAATAAGCTACCCTTACATCCATGGACGGAGGTTTTAAGATGCATTGCCTCCACAAGTTTCATCGCCATGCATCATGAATGCCTGAAATAATTTTAATTTCTCATATGAAGAAACTTTCCATGCACAAAGTGTCAACCCCTAATCCAAACATTTCGAAACTCGAGTGACACTGACAAAACGCTACTGACAAGTGACAACCATCATAATGCCAGAAATAGAATCTTTTTTAGTTCTGTGGTCATATAACATTGGTGACATTGGAGACAAATATGTTGGTAACACTGGAACAAGCACCGTTGCCACTATGCGCCAAGCGTTTTGAATCCGAAGCGTTCGCGCAGCAACGTGAATACCTAAACCGAAAGCTTAGCGCTTTGCCGTACGACATGAGGCGCTAGGCGTTTTGAAAACGTATCGCGTTCAAGCCAAAGAACGAGAATACGGGTCCTGATTGGTTTCCTAAATGTTCTTTGTTAACTAGTTTATATTTTTCGCCAACTGTTAATAGATCATATCGTTTTAATCTACGATATTGTTTGGATGATAATTCGAGCCCATCCCGTTTCCTTTGAAGTGCCACTTTTGTCTAATTTACAATTTCTAAATAACGTTCATCTGCTAATAACAAAGACCTATCTTTTTTCTCTGACATTAATTCCCATAATCTTTGTTCAAATTAGGCTTTCATCTTGGAATATTCTAGAAGACACACACATTGAATCACAAGACATAAAAATTCATCTAGAAAGCATTCTGAATAAATCTTAATACTCAGAACACGACGTAGGCAAAATAAATGCTTTACAACGCGAAATGGTGTAAAAGCGCTCTAAAACTTCATTCGCGTTGTGGGTGATGAAATGTATCCACAACGTGTTCTGGCCAATTCTCTTTACTCAGTGCTTGGCAAAACAATATCTGGTCGCATCGTAGGTAAATTACTATACCCATAACGCGATGTGTGCAAAAAAATCGGGCAGTCGGCGATTTCGGCTGTTGCGAATAACATTATCACCAATTCTAGCAGAATATGTAACGGATGACCTGCTTGATATTGTTATTCGCGTATTACCCTATGATCTATTCTACATAAAAAAATATGTAGACATCATTGTTTGTATCGCTTCTGAATGTGTGGACTGTATTGTTGATGGCTTTAATAGCTATGATCCATATATTCAATTGCCTATAGAAAATGAGGATGAAAATTAATCAGTTCCATTCCTGGACTCAAAAATCATCCGAAATAATAATATCTTATTGGTAGACTGGTACAGGAAACCTATGTCGACAGGCAGGTTCCTAAATTTCAGGTCTTAACATAAACTTAAAATAAAGGGAAATTTGGAGAAACAAATGAAAACAAGGGTTATTGGCATCTCTGACAATACTTTCCATCTTTCAAATTTACGAAAACTCTCAACGTTTTTCATTAATAATGGTTATCCATGGAACCTGATTAACAGAATTTTGTTGACCTCTCAAATTACAGATTCAATTTTGGAGTCCTGCCATATATTAAGGACCTATCTCCGAAATTGTCTAGACTTTGCAACACTTTAAATTATGGTATTGTTTACAAATTAGCTCTTACAGTTAACAGTGTCTTTTCCAAATTGAAAGATAGAGTTCCTTTGCTTAGTTTATCCAATATTGTCTATTCCATCAATTGTAATAACTGTAATCTTACATATATAGGTCAAACTTTTATATCGTTACAAGGTAGAATAACCTCACATAAAAGAGATTCCAGATTGCATCCAGAAAGATGTGCTTTGGCTTCACATGTTAACACTACCGGACATTGTATCGGTTATAATGCCATTAAGGTTCTTGACAGAGAAAACCACTTATCAAAACGTTAGTTTCTAGAAATTTCTCACATTTTTATGACAGACAATTTTATGAACAAAAAGGCATATGTCAAGCAGCTTAGCGTCATTTATTCATATTTGTTGAACTGCGAAAGATTGGAAAGATGTCATGTCTCTCCCAATAATGACCTACCTCAATTATTATAATAATCACATAATTTCACTTTCTATAAGAATTTTCCCCCTATATATATTTCATCGTCAAGTTTAGAATTTATTCGCGTTATCTAACACGGTTTAAAGGATAACATTTAAAATACATTCCCTCCATAACATTTATTAATTTTGAAAATCATTTTTGAACATCTTGTACCATAACGAACACTTCTCTTAAATACCACACGTAATCCCTATAAGATCCGCAACACATGTAACGAGGAGATTTTTAATCAATCGTACATCAATAAAGTCAATTTCACACGTCACTGTCGGCCTGCTGAATACGTGGTATGTGTATTTTCAAAAAGGTTTTAAAAAATTAATTAATCTTCAATTGTTTTAAATCTGTTAGTGGTTTTTTGAAAAACTTAGGTGTTCCAGTGATTTATGAATAATTTTCCTAATCGAACCTGATAAATCCAGTTTTTTTATCGTTTTACTATGTGTTCTCACCCACTTGCTTCTAAGAACAATTTCAGCAACAATCTCCCCGACTTGGTAAGTAATAATTGTTTATTGTTGCTATTTCCAAATTTTGTTTTTAGCTCCTGATGATGATGGCATAGACCATCGAAAACTTGAGTGTTATGAGAGTGTACTTTGCAAAAATTTGCCGAGTTCCCAAAGAAATATCAAGTATCATTGTCAAGTTTTAAAGTTAACCTACCTCTATGTGGTTTTAAGTATTGGTCAACTCGGTCGTTTGGATAGATCTCAGAACTGATAGAAGCACTTAAGTCCGAATCACCCCCATCTATTCGATTTTTTTAGTTTGAGTTATGATTTCTTCTGATTTTTGAGAAATTTTCTAGTTCTGAGCTTATTTTGGTCATAACTTCTTAAATAAGTATCATGAATGCCTTTTTTCTTTATTATTTAGCTAAAACTTGAGGCTTAACTAACATAAATACAGTTAAATCAGGTAATTCATAACACATTTTAAAATAAAAAAAAACATGGTACATAACAAAAAAGTAATAAAGTCGAATAATTTTGAACGTTTTTTTAAAACAGTATTATTCATTAGTGTCTTAAAAATTTCTTTATCTGATAAGATAATTTTAGTTCATGTAGAACAGTACGTAAAATTTAATAACTCATTTTTCAATAGAGATTGTTAGTTACTAGCAAAACTATTCTAAAAACTGCAAGAACATTTCAAAAATACTTATCTTTGGTAGACAATTCTTGCGTCCTTCACCACGCGATATCTGCACCGCTGAACAGGTAGGTGTTACAAAGGAAAACTTGCGTCGATGAACTACATATAGTACTACAGCGGGATGGGGGTAATTTTGGGTTATTCGTATTTGCTGAATTGAAACTCTTTGCCTTCCGTCCCTGTAACCATGCCCAACTGCATACACTGTTGTTTCATGTTTTTTAGCAATCATCACTACATTATAGGCCTACTCGTGTGGAGATAGGCTAACGGAAAGTAGACGGCCGGGTATAATCGACAGAGAAACTCGGTATGTTGTGCGCTAAGATACATTTTCGGCCCATACGCTGAAAATGATAGAAGGCCTCTACGCCTCAGGACTAGCCTAGGCCAATGATGTATCAAGCTTTGGCTAACGATCTGTAGGTGGTTGTGGCCCGTTAAATTTCCGTTTCCTATCTCCACACGAATAGACCTATAATGTACAGATGATTGCTAAAAAAACATGAAACACTATTGTAGGCGGTTGGTCATGGTTACAGAGACCAAAACCAGACGAATTCAGCCAATACTAGTAATCCAAAATTTCCCCCATCTTGCTTTAGTACTAGTTCTCTGAAGCAAGAACTCTTTTCTAACTCCTATCTGTCCAGCAGTTACCGCGTAGTGAAGGACGCAAGGACTGTCTACCAAAGATAAGTATTTTTGAAATGTCCTTGTAGTTTTTAGAATTGTTTTGCCCGTAACTAACAATCTCTATTGAATAATGAGTTGACAAATTTTAGACTCTGTTCTACTTGAACCAAAATTAGAATTGTATGTAGTATCGATACATCGATGCACTTTTTATAATTAAAAGCTGATAAACTAAAGAAGTTTTTAAGACACTAAAGAATGGGAAAACATTTTTCTGTTTTTAAAAAACGTTCAAAATTGTTGGACTTTTTCACTTGTTTAGCTTCAAGTTTTAGCTCAATAATAAAGAAAAAGCAGACATTTGTGTTGGTCATTTACTAAAATAAGCTCAGGACTCGAAAATGACTAAAATTATAACTCCTAAACTAAACTAAAAAAAATCGATAATCTACATGGTATGACTCGGACTTCCTAAGTGTGCTCTACCTCTGGGCTTCCGCTTATTACAGATTTTTGAATTCATGAGTTTAGAAAACAAGCAAGTAGATTCTCAAAACGCTTTTTTCATCTCTATTATTTACTTAAAGTTCCTGTATCACATTTCAGGTCGCTTAAAAATGATGCCAGCTTATTGACGGATTATAGTCTGGTGCAGTCTTTCATCATTAGACATTTATATGTTTTCAAAACATGCTTGATAGAGCTTAGTTTTTGTTATGATGATACTTATTTAGACAATGTGGAAGAAATTATGACGTTCTACTCGAACTTGACAATGAATTTGTTGCCAAAGTGGCGACCGGAGGAGAACTATAAAAGACATCTGAACCCGATTTGTCGCAAATTAATCTATTACATCAGGTTGTATCTGTTGTGTAGAGAAGATCGATGTTTGCATGTTCTTATGAAATTGAAAATCAACGAAAATTCTAAGGAACACAGGCATTTCATGAATCATCTATATAGGTAATTTATATTTTGTATTAAATAGTCACAAGTTGATTTATAACTTGAGATATATATATATATATATATATATATACAGGGTGTCCGCAAAGTTGGGGTTTTCCTTTTCAGAAACAACTACCCTTGAAGTAACGCAGGTAATGTGTAGTGAAACCCCGAAATCATACCGCTCCAACAGAAAATGAAATCAGCTGATGCGCTACCGAGCAGACGCATAAACAACATTGATTGTCTTACACTTAATGGCACATCTTCTAACAAGGAAGGCAAAATGTTGCGTAAAAAGTCTAGGTATTGCATCCCGTCCAATCGATTTGGGAGAATAAATGGTCCAATGAGCATACCGTTCACCATGCCAGCCCAAACATTCACCGAAAATGTTTGTTGAAAGTGTGACCGACGGACAGCGTGCGGATTTTCTACTGACCAAACATGAGTGTTGCGAAAGTTATTCACCCCATTACGCGTGAACGTAGATTCGTCTGTCACCAATATGCACTTCAAAAAGTCCGGATTATTGTCATGTTGATGCAACAACCATTCACAAAACCGCACTCTTGCTGGAAAATCGTCAGGTTGAAGGGCTTGCACACGTTGGACGTGAAACGGATACAGCCCCTCTTCACGCAGCGTTTGCCACACTTTAGTTTTTGATACTTGCACTTCTCTAGCCACGTCTCTAGTGCTTGTTGAAGGATTCTCGTCTACGCGATTACCTCTACACGCGTGACCGTAACGCTCGGTTGAAGGTTGCATACTGACCTGACACACTGACCCCGACCCAGTTCTGTCGTCGGGTTGAGCCAGTGACCTTGTACCAGTCAGTGATGTCGCGGCTAAAGGACGGTATTCAGATATTTTTGATGTTGCAGAGCCCTTTATCTCGGTTCACTTAAGACATTGGTGTATATGGTAATAAGAAAAATTGCTTATGTTTTCAAGATCTACACGTCGTGTAAAGGAAAACCCCAACTTTGCGGACACCATGTATATATATTTAGTATTTATATATTTCAAAAAGGTCCCCCAATTACTTTTAGAACGGATGAAATTAGTGAACAGAAATTCGAAGTGATGAAATTTATGTGGAAATGTATTTTAGAACCCAGCCGCCATCTTGAAATCTCCACTTGTAAAATTTTGCATTGAAATATATTGTTTAGGTATCAATTTCATGAGTCCGAATTTCAACTTGTTTACTTGACCCGGTTGAAAAATGTGTGCGGGGATATCTCTTTAAAAGGCACTGTATAACTATTTCATTCCTTGTAGAGCGTTCTTCTTGAGGAGGGAGCCAGAGGAGAAGACAGATCTAGCATTTTGTCGAGCATATATCTTATTCCAGCAGTGGAAGAAGATCAAAGACAAATCGACCTGGAAGCATATGGATGAAACTATGTATAGCTTGTTTGACAGAACTGTTGAAGATGTGAAGACAAATGAGAGAATACTTTAAAATTAGGCAAACAGAAAGCATTCAAGACTTCAGTAATTTAAGTGACTTTGTAATAGATAGAATTGATCCTGCAGCGGTAAGAATTATTTGAGTGGCATTTACTCCTTATATGTAACAACTAAAAGTAAAGTTATCTAAAATTTTATTACATTATTGCAACTTGTCAGGTTGTCTAAATTTTAATTTGCTCATTCTGTGCTTCACCATCTGCTTTTAAGAAAATGGCCTCAAGTTGATTCTGCCCTTGCCACACAATGCTGTTTGGTACAAGTAAGCCTCTTGAGAAAAAATTAGCTACATATATAATAAAAAATAAAATGGATCAAGTCGGTCAAACATGCTCATACAATTATATATAGAAATATCTCCCCTGCCTAACTGACAGCACCGACGGAAATGAGTGACATGGTTTTTCGTGATATGTACACATATCTTAAAAATTTTCCGTGATTATATTTCCTCGCCAGTGGCGAGGGAAGTATATTATATTATTATACTGAGCGATTCACAAGTCGTGACCAAAAATGAAATATTTTCTATGTAACATTTTTTCCTCGAGGGGTTCATTAAAATAGGGGATGTTGAAATTTAAAAATAAATATCTTCAAAACTGTCCACTGGAATAAACTAAAATTAGGTATGTGGATTTACCTAAGTATTGTCCACATTCAAAAGTATTTACTTAAAATAACATGGACCAGTGGTGGAGATACAGGGGATTAGTGGGATTATGTTTCCAAATAAAAATAGTACGTCACTGATTTTTTTTTCTTTCGAAACGCCCAATTTTTCGAATTTTACCTTCAATTTGCTAAAATCGATAAAAACATTTGTTAGGTCGATTTGTTACATTCATTATTTTTTCCATAAGTAGGAGCAATTTGCAATGTGAACATCAGCTGCATGCTGTGGTATAACTTTGTGGAAATATACGTGACTTGAGTCTACGAAAATATTATTTTTGAAAATACTTTTTCCTAACAGTGCATAATATTTTCAAAGTGTAAAAGCATCATTGTAGTTTACTATCCAAGGACTACAATATTGAATTCCATTAGTTTTTAAGCAATTTGAAATCTATGCTTATCCATATTAACAGTTTGTTTGCAATAACTTTTTTATAAATTCACAGATTGACATCGGCCAGGTCTCAGATCTGTAATAAAAAACTACAAAACTTTTATATTGAACATTTTTTGCGTAAAAAATCGCATTTTTAGATAACCATTAAAAATTAATTGTTGCATTTTAGTTGCATTTGCATCATCATATTTTTATCCAACTTTTCCATATAGTCGCGTGCAGTGTTTAATTTTTGCACCACCAAACTTGATTGTTAGTATATTTCACGGACTGACTTGGGCTAAAATGTATGTAGTTGGTTGAAACAACCGCTGTTAGTATAAAATATGCGATCACATCCACTCGTAACTACAAGTATCAGATCACTATAGGTAAATAATATTAATATTAATATAATATTATTAATCGTTATTAATATTATAATAAAACTTAGGAAAATTATATTTGATCTATTGAAGAACGGTGTCAAGCAGATTAATACCATAACTCACATGTAATCAATTGTGGGATCCAACACGGGAAGTGCCGCTTTTGCTTATTTAATATTAAATCTTGTTTGACTGTCTGCTGTTAAGGTCAGCTACAGATTAACTTATTACTTCGCGTTTTGGCATCTTGTTTCTCGATTTTAATAACATCTCGGTGTTTTCGCGCTAACACTCAAGAACAATTTGCATCATGCGGATTTGACCAGCGTAGAGATTTTAATGAGGCTTACTGGCTTGTGATGAGTACTGATTCACTTTTCATTTAAATTTTGTATGTTCTAGGATAAGACAGAAGATCCAGACTTAGATGTGTATTACATGAATTATCGGAAATCAATGGCCGAGGTTTCCAGAAGTGGCTCTTCTGAATTAATAGAAGAAATTGATTCTGATGACGATTGCCATTTTGTGGGAGTTATATATAATTCCAGAGAGATTATACATGAAATTCTTGATGACGATCACATTGAAGACATGATATCCACGAAAAGTAGTACTGTAAGTATTTCTATTTATTCTGTATACACCTCAAATATGGTAATGATATTTAGTTTTCTCAAACTCTCTGCACTGATTTTGACACGTCACAGTAAAACTACTGGTATCATTTTTACACTAGGGATGCACCGAGTACTTTTTTTTCAAATAGCCGAGTACCGGATACTCAGCACGAGCGTTTTCAAATGGTATCTTTATTCCAAAAGTTTATTTACTGTTGAAAGAAATAAACGTACCATAAAAACAGTTGTGAAACTTGGACGATTATTTGTGAGTATATACTCGTAGCTATAGGTTAGTGTATTTAACATTCTTTCTTAGGTATGTTTTTTCACTGTGGAATTCATCAGTGACTGTATAAAGTTTAAAGTGAAACCATATTTATATTTATATTTTGTGTTCACATTATTGGAACATAATCATGCGGAGAAATGTATATAACAAAAAAAATAGGAAAATAATGGGCAAAATCCGCAAAAAGAAGGAAAGTGGATTCGAGCAGAAAATAGGATAGGTAACCCGAGCGATACGTAATTCTGCTGGTTGGCTTCATCAGGCCCGAAATGAATACACATATGCAACTACAAAAATAGATACACATGCTCATACATCCGGATTCGGGTGTAACCTGAGGAAACAAAGATGGAGAGGAAAAAAAATCACACACGAAGTCCACAACAAGAGCCAACCTACACATTGTAGTATAAAATGGCTAGAAGACCTCGAATTTTCAAGGCGACATCTGACCACAACCACGCGGCCGGTTATAGCCACTTGCTGTGGTGTGTGATCTACAAAGAGAAAAAAATCATGCGGAGAAATGTTTATTACAAAAAATAGGAAAATAATGTTGTCAGATGTCGCCTTGAAAAAAAACAGATTTAAATTGTCAAACAACTTACTCGTCGTTGAGGTTGCAGCCACAAGGTGTTTCAAAACGAACGTAGAGAAGATAGAACTTGTAATCAGTATAAAAACAAAAAGACGGGGACATTGGGCTTATTGAAAACGACAGAAACCTTCGTTACATGTTAAAAAATCAATCCAAAAGAAAAATTATTATTTTTCTTTTTGTTATACTCGTATATGTATATACAGTGTGTCCTAGATTCGCTTCTCTATATACAGGGATCTCGGCTCCTGTTATACCTACAGCAAAGGTAAAATGGGGAAAGTTTTCGTGGAAACTTAGTGCTTTCAATACCCGGCTTCAGATTTAGGATCTGTCAATTGGTTTTGAAAATATCAGCGAAAAACCGAAAATGCCGGAATTTGTTTTTTGCCAGGAAATCCAAAACGAATTATTTGTCAGCTGTCAAAATTTGACATTATTCTGACATTTTTTTAAGAAAAATAAGATACCATGTATGACATGTCTCAATCGTTTTTTGTTTTCCAGCAACCCGCATCAACTTAAATTTTTCTTATAGCCGCCATATTGGATTTTTTTATTTTTGAAAAGAGTTTAAAATTTCCAGTCAAGTGATGTCTCACAAGTGCATAAAAGATTGGAGTATCACCGAAATATCATCACTGTATGTATTAGTTTTTTCTAAGGAGGCCATGATTTATTTGTCAGAAAATAACATTGAGTAAGGCATAAAAAACACATTAACGCCCTGAATTTTCAATAGCGTTGATATCGACTTCTCAACAAGTCAAATGTTTTCGGACAAATTCCCAACTATATGTGAGTTAAAAAAAAACAAGTCAGAAAAATCGTCGTAAATTTATTTTACACTTGAAGAAACAAAGATTTTACAAAATTGTAATGTAACGTAAAATCTAATTATGTAAGTGGATATTAATATACAGATTTGCAAAATAACGTCCATTTGCATCCAGACATGTTTGACAATCGGTGACTGTTTTTGGTACAACCTTAGCTAGTGTATAGTATTTCTGTTAATGTTTCTAACTGTGTTCCAAATTCTATGTCTCAGAATTTCTGTTCTCTTGAGAGGATCAAATTCATAGACGTCATTCTTTGTGTGACCCCAGAGATAGAAATCTAAGGGTGAAAGGGCAGGGGATCTAGGAGGCCAAGATATTGAACCATTTAAGTGCCTGACTTGAATGGTGTTATAAGCCGGGCATCCATTCTGTTGAAACCAGGTTCTTCTAAACTCATCTTCCGTTAGACTAGCTCGTAAAGCCGGCACAACCTTTTTTTATTTTTATTTTTTGGCACTACTACAAAGGTCACATTAGCCAGGTCCAATCTTGATATGTAAATCTTTAATTATTGACAAACACACGACGCAACAACATCCATTGCTTCGGAATGTTATTTCCGAAGGCGAGATCCGAACTCGCGGCCCAGCCGGCCGGCTGATCAGTAGCACGACACTCTGACCCACCCGGCCAACCGAGGTCCCAACCGGCACAACCTGGTTTCGCAAAAGCTCTAGGTACCTGTGTCTCTTTGGGTGTAGTCAAACAAAAATGGTCCTATGAAATGGTTCTGAAATGATTAATACCTAATTTCAAATAGGTGCCCGGTGCCCAATAAAAAAGGTGAGATAGATTAAGTTACCAATGACCCCACACCAAACGTTAGTTCCAAATTTGATCTATAGACGTCTCTCTGCCACTTCGTGAGTGTTTTTCACAGCCCAATAATGACCGTTGTACTTATTAAAAACCCCACAATTGGTAAACCGACTCTGATCGGACCACAAGACATGATTCACAAAATCGGGATTTTGATTAGACTTCCTAGTATACCACTCACACAAGCGCATTTGCCTTGGAAAATCAGTTTCCTTAAGTCCTTGAACTATTGTAGCTTTGTATGGATGGTACTTATTCTTATTTAACACTCTCTGTACTTTCGATTTTGACACACTAATTTCTCGTTCTTTAGTTCTTACTGATTCACTAGAGATTTCGTTGACAGCTTGGAAAATGTTTCTGTCGCGATTTTCATTTTCAATATTGTATCCGCTTCTAGGCATGGTTTATTAAATTAACTACTATTTTCCTATAATGATTTTATGAGGGTGCCGTCGTTCGGGGTAGATCTTCAAGTACCTTGCTGGGCTAATGTCGGCGTTTCTGTGTGACTGCAAGTACAGCGCTTACATTTCTTCTTCATTTGAGTAGGGAATACCGGCCATTTTCAACAGGTTTTGACAATTTTTTTGCCATTTTTGTGATTTTAATGAGAGAAGACGTACCTACTACTTGTTAAAACGCAATTTTAATACTTTGAATTATTTAACGTCAGTCAGCGCCTCATTAGATGAAAAAGAAAATGCGTTGCTTATTATTTTTATTTTCTGACAAATAAAACATGGCCTCCTTAGAAAAAAATTAATACATAACATTACGTGTGATGATATTTCGATGATACTCCAATCTTTTTTGCACTTGTGAGACATCACCCGAGTTGAAATTTTACGCTCTTTTCAAAAATCCAATTAGCGGTCATAAGAAAAATGAAAGTTGAGGCAGGTTGCGGGAAAACAAAAGACGATTGAGACATAGCAGTAGTTAAAATTTGTAAAATACACCTTGCCATGTGTCAAAAAACAGCACAACGGATTAAAAACTTTTGGATTGATTGAACCGTTTGCCCCCCGAAGGGTAAAAAACAGATATTTTGGGTCTAGCCGAGGCTTGACCCTCGGAGATTGCATCTTACCTTTTTTCATCGCTATCCCACGTATAGATCCCCCTTTTTAGCTCATATTCCCAGCCGCACGCCCATGTGCGCTCCGGGGTCCGTCTAGCGTGCGCGCGACCTGAGTCGGGGGAAAAATGGTTCTATTTTAGGTCTGAGCCTTCGGCTTCGTTTCTTCTGGACGTAGAAACAGATATCAGTTTGCGAATCCAATAAACGGGGTCCATACTCTGTGGATTGGAAACCAGCCACTGTATGATAGTGGAAACACTCCGTTTGGATGTCCTTGGAGGCTGCTGTTTCAACTTGATGGCTTTCATCATTCTTTGTACTAGGGCATTTCAGGCTAAGAGCTTAGATTTTTCTGGATTTGCAATGGTACATACTACCGACTTGTGTAATGCCATCGTATTCGGGGATAACTTACAACTTCTAAATAAGTAGCATAGGATTTTAGCCAGATCCGTTACCCTTGGATTATCTGCACTACGCATATTTTGTTTTGTCCAAGACTTCCCCTACTCCATACACTTCTATACGACTTCAATGTGGAGCTCCTCCGTGAAGATACTAGAAGGTCTAAGTCCTCTCTTTTCCAACCAGCGATTTGCTGTGACCAACCTGAACCTTCCATGCCTCCAATTTCAAGTCGTCGCACCTGGGAGGTGGGCTTTCCGTTACCAGGACCCGGAGATTCATCGACAAGTTGGGAATCACTATTGGCCCTTCTGCTACCCTTCTCTGAAGATCTGGACGACAAAACACCTTTTATCAGCTTGGCGCTATCAGGATGTAGAGCCCCGATGCCGAGTTCAGATGGGTCAGGACTCTCGGTATAAGAGCCGGTGGTGGAAATATCCACGCCAACTGCTATTACATTCGACAGAGACCAGTCTGGAAGAGGGAGACCCCTGGAAAGGTGATCGTCCGTCCCATTGTATTTTTCCGGAATATACTGAGGTTGCAGCGTGATGTTGAATTTGGAACAAGTTTCGAGTAATTCTTTTGTCAGCTGCAGCAACTTGATCGACTTCGTCCCCCCTTCTTTTCTGACATAAGCTATTACCGTGCGGTTGTCCGACTGCAGCAATACAACCTGGTTCCTTAGTACCATTGTATTTCTCTTGATTGCATTGAGAACTCCCCAAAGTTCTTTGCAGTTGCAGTGCCAGTATCGTTGGCTCTCGGACCACGTTCCTGAGATAGTGTGCTCGTTCAGGGTTGCTCCCCAACCCCAGTCGGACGCGTCTGTTGTCAGGTAGCTCAACTTCTTTGTATTCCACACTGGTGACGACTGCTCTACATACATCAACCACCACTGGAGGTCTGTCAGAACTGGTTTGGGGATTGGCGATCTTGTCTTTGAGAGTTGGGG